TGAGAGCAGGGCAATAGCAACCACTGCTGTTCCAAGAGATTAATAATCAAGCGAGTCTTCATCGGTCAGGGATTCTTCAGGGATCGCGACGCGTGTAATCCCACATCATTTTGGCGTCGTCGTTGTCGAAACGTTTTGTTTCTTACCTTTTTGGTACATTGTGGTGCTTTTGCGTCGTCAGGGTCTGTCGTTCGTTTATACTGGCTAGCCATAAGTGTTTTTGTCACTTCTTATCGTTTCGACGACACTGACTGCTTAGCGTCTCTTGAGTTTTGTCGATACGGTTGGTTTTCGTCGTCCCGACTGTGTTTTTCTTGCGATCTTGTTCCGTTCTTTGGGTTCCGACATGTTATGGTGTTTGTGGCGTTGACAGCTTTTCTGCAACATCTTTTGTTTCTCTGTGTTCGTAGCCCCCGTATTTCTTTTCTCTATCTTTTTTTAAATTGGGTCACACGATAATCTTGCGACTCGTCGTGCGAGAGGTGCGTGGGAGGGTGAATATCGGTGTTTTGGAGCTCCGCATCCTCGATCCTTTCGTTTTGGGATTCGACGTTAAAATGTTCAATGAGAATCTCCAGGGTGGGCTAGTGTTATGGGATTTGAATCATATGAACGGTTTTGCGGAGTAATTCCCTCAGGAAAGTGCGGGAGATGTAACTCCCGGTTGAAGGATAAAGCAGGGGACAGGACCTTTGTGGCCCCTTATAGAGGGACCGTGTCCTCTTTAGAGGGACCATGTCCTCTCTCTCTTTGCTCAGTCTACCTTTGAGAGCAAAGCAACAGCAAGCACAGCTGTTCCCAAGACATTAATAAACAAGTGGGTCTTCATCAGGGTCTTCAGGGATCCCTACGCGTGTAATCCCACAACAGTGTTCCGTCGCCCATACTCTGGCGACGAGTGTCCAGGGTCCCAGGAAGAAAACACCTCGTTTGACTTGTCAGCGCTGCCGCGGACTGAGTAGTCTAGACTACTGGTTTGACTTCTAAGAGTCAGTCGTGGGTCCGGAACCCAGGCTGTAGTTGAGGTGTTTTTTCCTGAGACCCTTCATGCTATTGGCCAGAGTGTATGGGTGGCGGAAAGACTCACCTGAGACCCTGGAACGTTCGGCGGGATGTGGGTGGTAAGTGAGATAATGAAACGAAATAGACATTGGATGAATAGCAGCGCTGGCGCGAGTAGTCACCCTTCTCGGAGTAAAAGTGTTAGATCATTCGGATTCGACGACTAACGTTTTTAGAAGGCGAAATCAAACCATTAGAAGACTAGTCAGCGCTGATGTGTAGCAGCGGACTGGCGCTCGGGTAAATACGATGACTCGAGCTACTGCGAAGTAAGAGCAACAACACCGCATTTGGCAACCAAGCCTGTGAGTTGGCACAATTCTCGTGAGATCCAAGGAAACATCTGCTGTTGGACCGACGTATTTGGTCGGCCCTTTGGATTCTGGATTCCAGGTGTGATCATCATTCCAACCCCGTTGATACCCCAATCATGAGCTTAAGTACCCATAAAATATATCAACCCTGGCCGGTGGGCATTGAGGCTAAAGTAAAGGTAACCGCCCTTACCCGATAGCCGTAATACCACTGTGACACTACAATAGTCTTATGGATTGAATTCGGCTTGTGAAGACATCAACGCCGTTTGGCAGATGCGGTAGATGGTTCAAAGGTCCCCATTGCATCTGCTAGATGTGCCGTATCCACACTGATAGACTAGTCAGCAAGTTCGATTACGGGTCCTTCAAGACGTCGTCAGCGAAGTTTATACATACATGAAGCTTGACACATGAGGTTTTGACACATGCGGTAGATAGTTTAATTGCTCTCATTACCCCGGCTTGTGGCGCGTCCACAAACGCTGATGTTTAGCATAAGTTATACATTTCAGCTCAAGTATACAGAGCACAGATTTACTTCCCCCTGCTCACTTACATTACACCCGCCGTGTGTGATGTTTAGCATAAGCTGTGCATTTCCAAGTCAATCAAGCATACAGAGCACAGATTTACTTGCCCCTGCTCACTTACTTAATATCCGGTGTGTGTAAAACGGAGAGGCAGTAACCGACATCTATTTTTATCATGCGCAGTTCCCGCGTTGCCGATCCGTCCCTCGTTCGTTCACAGAACATACACATCACTCCCTCCCTCTCCCATCCCCTCACACCGGCCAGCTAGGCAGAGTTCAATCCTAAGGTAAGCTCATCTGGATTCGAGTCGGAAGAAGTATAGTGCAGATAAGTTGTTCTCGAAGCGTGGGTCTAAGACTCCTGTCTGTGCTGTAGGACGTTCCTACTGCTGTACGGACGTACGGACTACTACATACAGTACTCCGTTCCGTTGCGATGTGGTACATTACATGTACTTTAGTCTAGACCTGCAAGAGTCCAGATTCACTCATGAGTAAGGTCTCGACAACAGGAACATCATCGGTTGTATCCCCGACGGTCACCGAGAGAATGCTACACCAAAGGCCATCCGTGGTACTGGTGCACAGGCATACCAGTGCTCCTTATGCCCTTCGGATTTTTTGTTACCGTACGTCTGCGGTCTCTCACCACGATGATGTACAGAAGGGGGGACTACGTATGTACATGTACGTTCGTCCATGGTATGATGCACAGATGGCAGAGGGGAAGGTTGGGCACCGACCGCAACCTGTGAAGGTTGGGTGAGGAGGTCGGGAGGAGGGATCTCGACCTTGATGCCAGTTTGTACAGCACATCACCGAAACGTCAGCCAGCTCTGTCATCATGAATGGTTGGATATGTGGTAGGAGCTCCGAAGAAGAGCTCGTACATGTATGTATGTGTAATCCCGCACCATTCGTTGTCCCCTACTCCCCCATGCACTCTCAACGCGTCTCTCATCTCTCATACTTCGAAGTGTATTTTCTCTTACGTAGTTTGTTAGGTATGTGTGGTGTGCCTTTTCGGCAGTCAAGCTGCTTCGCGAGCTCGCGAGCCCCCTGCCCTCGAGGCAATTTGTTCCTTTTCGGGGGCTTCCTGTTCCTTTTCGGGGGCATCAGAACCGTTTGCTTTTCGGGCCGCAAGCCGCAACAAACAAAATACGCCGCACTGCGCGCAAACTACAAACTACCAAATGGGCAATGGGGACACCTTTGTCTCTTCTCCTCTCTACTTTTGGGGACACTGCACTAAAATGTTTGTTTCCCGGACCGCAGTCGTCACTATATGCTCCGCGGTGTGAAACGCGCGTGGGAAACCTTGTCTCACAATGCTTGCTTTTGTGTGATGTGGGACGCTGCTGTGTGATACACTTCCTGCTGCGGTGTGCCTCTCCTCGGCCTCTGACTTGCTGTACACACAGAGCAGCGCGTCCTCTGAAAAGGTGGTAAAGCTGTACTTACCTGGTACACTGGCACACATTGCTGAATTGGCTCCGGTTTTGGAGAGTGTCCCCAGTGCATTTGGGGACGCTTTCCATACTACAGCAGTACAGTATGCAAAAAAAAAAATGCCAGCCGTCGTCGCTCGGGACTGTACAGCCTCACCAAATGAGCGGACGCGATATTTGTTTGACTCGTAACATGTAGCTATGCTGCACAGTCTAGTAACTGCGCCATGTAGGAGGGTTCATGATTTCAGACACAGAAGGGGCTCTCTGTGATATGTGCGGTGTACTTCCTGAACGAATCTCGCTTTTTTTAGCCGTGGGTAGAGAGGACTACTGCTGCTGTACACATACATACATACATAACCGAACGTACCATGGAGCATTAGACTACTTCCTGTTTTCTTGAGTCATGATGCCGTCTAACGTCGAAACGCCGAACAATGAACTTATCAAATGGTTTTGGCATGGCCGCGGTTCCTCATAGCAGTAAGTCTTGAGTGTCCCCCGTGTTTGGGGCGTCATGAAATCCTGCTTTTAGTTGACCCGTAACAACGCATACCGGTATAATATTATATGAAGGCATGTACAAATCTTCGGCATTGCCGTTATCGACTCCGAAAGAAGAAGCAGACGAGCTGCTATTAAGTCTACAGTAGTCTACGTAGTCTACTGTCTTACAGTAGATACACAGATATACTCCAGATATGTCTTGTCAGTCTGTAAAAGAGGCACTGCATGTATACCACTTACTATCAATTATTGAATTGAAATTACCCCTTTCCGCCGCCATTTTTCTGCAGATGGGGTCCCGTGCGTCGACGCCATTGTCTCCTGATCGCCTGGGCGAACCCCCGTCTCTTCCGCTACGAGGGCAAGACGATGAAGCGGCGCTATGGCGAGTGTAGGTCTTTGAAACGCCTTCCCGTAAAACCAAGATCGCCTACACGGTATCCAGACCCACCCGCCGTAAATCACACCTTGTGCAAATATAGGTCGTCCCTGTTACTGTCAGTCATCATGTCTTCGAACTGCTTACTTTCGGCAGGCCGGATAGTACAGTAGTGTCGCTCTTCTTCCCGTCTGCGTTGTTGCGGTTGTGCATGAAACAGCGGTGCTACCTGACAACCTGAACGTGAGGCGAGCGGATCGCTGTCATTGCAGTCCGACCCAGAAATTCAAGCTAGGACGGTTGATTGTTGTTTGTGAAATGACACGTTGCGGGCGAACACAGTTAGCTATTGCTGTGACTCAACTCCAAACGGTGGTGGACCCCTCCTAAATCTGGCAGGGAATAACCACCACCCCTTCGCCTCCCTTGCCTACGACCCACACCGAACATTACATGTCTGTGGTTTCCCCCCCTCCCCCACGCCTGCTCACCGTACTTGTACACCGCTCTCCGACCTTCTTCCCCCTCTGCCATTCGTGGAAACGCGTCGTTGGTGTTGATTCTGCAAGTAAATCTACAAATAGACTTACAATGAGTTATCGAAGAACCTGCTTTGACGACTTTTCGTGCAGCAAAAATCTAGTGCAATTCCTAGCACAGCAATTGCGTACATAATTAATTCCAACCTCTTTCCCGCGCCCCCCCCCCCGTGACTCGTCGTACCTTATTCCTGTGTGAATTTTTCTAGGACAATGGCGGCCAAACAAGTCAAGCGGGACTTCACGGCCGATGGGCCAAGCGTATATTTTATATCCGACTGGAAGAAAGACAGCGAGCCCAAGAGGAGCAAGCGCAAGAAGGTTGCTGCTAAGAAGTGAGTTGATTGTATTGTGGTTCCCTCAAGCTTTCACATTCCTGAATCCTGGCTGTGAGCCCCCCTGTCTTTGATAGAATCTTTATCAAGTGAAAACTCCAACATGGTCCGTTGAATGTCTCGGCACGTTATCAATATCATTTTTTTTTTATGTTTCCCGCACGGCATCTACTGGGCAGAAATGGTGTGAGTGCTGATTTAAAGTGAACAAAAAGAACAATAATTTAACCACCTTTTGCCAAGAACCATGGAGCAGAAATTCTCTTCGTCATCTTCAAGATAATATCAGGTCCCCAGCTAGCCGTAGCCAACGTGAGAGTTGCATACCAGCTACGTAGATAGGTTGTGCTCAACACACACTGCTGTACCAGCATGACATATAGCAGTTGATTGTCCATGAAAACGTGCACCTTCTTCGTCTATGTGGGCCGTCACAAACTCAGAAAATAGTTAATCGAGTGAGAAACACCCCATATTTTCATTCACGACTGAAGCGTTCATTTTTCTACCCCCATTGGCAGCTTGCAAGAGGCAACACGCCTCCAAGTGGAACGCTGGATTGACCAAGGCGCGCTTAGGCAGAACTTCGCAAAAGAGTCTCCTCGCCCCGTGGGCGTAGGAAAGAGCAGGGAAACGACTTCCGCAAACATGGGAACGGTAAGAGAGCCCACCTGCTTGCTCAAGTCTCGAATTCCACCTACAGTAGAGTTGTGGAGTACACGCGTGCCCACACGTACTTATTCGTTGGCGCAGCAGTACCGATACGACTCTGCATTAATAGGTGATTGGCGGGATGATACACATGTTCGTGCTGACCACCATGCACAAATAACTACCTCGGATACGAGTGGTGCCGTATTTAGCTTCACCCTTCGTTGTAACTCCTCCGTCGAAGGCACAAGAACATGTTTTTGCCGGATTCGCTTGACGAAAATGTCATGTTAAGGATGCTGTCGAGAGCTGGCGTATGGGATTGCGAAATATGTTGTCCGTGCTTCATTTGACTCGTTTCGATACTATCGCCCCCCGTGTCAAGATCCTTGTCAATTGACGGAAGGCATACAGACACACGGGTCGGACTTTCATTCGCGCGACGCCTCTCATAGTCCATGGCCGTCGATAACATCTCCCGATGCTATTTTCTGAACTAGAGTGCTGCGCCAAGAAACAAGGATGTGTGGGCACGCATGCACTCCAAATCACAAGGTGGCATTCGTGAGCAAGCAAGTGGGCTCTCGTACCGACCCCACGTTCTTTCCGGGGGTGGCCATTCCGGTCGCCCCGGTGGTCTAGTTGGTAGCCTCGTAACCTTCTATTAATAGATGTCAGGTCAGGGGTTCGAATCCCGGCGTAGGCGAGCTTTTCTTCTTGCAAAGTGAGTTTTTCTCTCGCTTCCGCTCCTGGCCAAGTGGATAGCGCTAGTTCGTGTGTACACAGAGGGAAGAAAGTGATGAACTCTTCTCGCATTAAAAATTGAAGGCGAAGTACCGCAGGAGGGGAGGGTAGAGAGAGGCTCTTCTGTGTGACCACGGGTTGGAATAAACTGATTTGAAGTGAGAAAAAAAAAAAAATCCACGCTCTTGCCGTAACGGCCCTTCGTCCAAGCAGTCTAATAGTTCATGGCCGTCGATAACATCTCCCTGATGCTTTATTCTGAATGTTGTACCAAGATCTCCCGTGACATCCCACCGCAACATCAACTGGAGGGGTTTTGTGTGCTTACACCGCTCGCTCTTGCAACCTCCCCGTCTTCCTCCTTCGTAGATCCTGTTTTCATAATCGTCTTTTTGTCATCCCGCTTTTCTTGTCATTTTCGTCCAACCCTTCTCCTTTCCCCTTGTCCTCGCGGTAAGTCTTTGCTCGCCGCTGAGCGGAACGTTCCATGTGTGTTTCGACCTTTACGTCGTAAATAGTAGAAGGTGTTCTGACTCAAAATCGCGCTGTACTCACAAAGCTCCCGACCGCTGGAGGACAAATCAAAACGCGAAGAACTTCTTCCCCAGGCATCACCAACATGAAAACCTTGAACGGAGGCGATGATTCGTCTCCTCTCGTCGTCGCCACGGCGGAATGGCAAACATTGATCGACGCTCTGCTTCTCCTCTTCCCCGATCCACGTGCAGCAGGTGGAGCCGACGGAGCTGCAACGCTCCAGCGAGGAAGAAGCGTCGACGCCCACCACCGTCGAAGAGCCGGACCTGCAATGCTCATGGGACCGAGATTTGCGGCCTCCCATGGACGAACCGCTCTTAGGCGAAGTCGCTGAAGCGATGTTCTGGAGCGACACCTGGGCGGAAGTCCCGTCGCTGCGCTCCTTCTCCGAGCCCACATTTTTGGACAACCGGACGAATAGGCGATTGTCCAATGTTAATGCAAGGTTCCGGAACATGTCGATTGCCGACGAGAAGCCTTGATGGGCATTTTTTTATGTTTGTATTGTCTTCACTGCAGATCAGCGCCGCCACAGCAATTGTGCGTGGCGTTTACTCCAACCCGTGGTCTTACACAAGGATCACTCTCCCTGAGTCCCCCTACATACCCACTCCTGCGGTACTTTGCCTGCGATTTTTTATGCGAGAAGAGTGCAGCTTTCTCTTCCCTGTGTGTCCACACGAACTAGTGCTTTCCACCCAGGCCAGGAACATATTGACTTCACGATAAACCTGCTTTGCGGTGACTTCTGTGTGGAGTTTGCATGAATGATTAGTCTAGGAGCTTGATTCATGTTGTTTCGAAATGAAACCTGGTGGATAGATGCATTGTTGCTTCACCGTCTCTTGTTGTTATTTGCACCCCTTTCTATTGTTGAAGGTATGAGACCGTAGCAGAGTGCTTGTTCGCGTACCCGTTGACAAGCCGTAGGAGGACACATTTGTTTTTATCTTCGTCTCGGGTTGGCGATTCGTCCCTTTGTGGTTGTACAGGGTGGGGGCGCAGATGTCGAACTTGCCTTCATGTTGCAAGACCTAGAGCCCCGCGGGGCACGTATGTGGAACGTGAACAATCATCTCTAAGAAACGAGCGCCTAACTAACCTTGACTACTGTTTTTTTGTGACCTGTGGGAGGAGATCTCTTCAACATGCGCATGACACGTACCTGGCGGCGCAAGCCTCTGCGGTATCCCTCGATGTGTCTCTGCTACCCGAGAAATGGTATCTCCCTCCGAATACTTGCCTTACCTCGCTACTCCATGTTGCGCGTGGCCATCCAAGTGCTGCTTGGAGAGTGTTAAGGCGGGCCCAATTCGCAGGGTATCCATCCGTAGATTGACGTTTACCAGAATCGGTACACCTTCGCAACAACCAAATGGCAAACAGAACAAGAAAACAAGTACGGGTACCACGCAGGACCCAAATATGGCACGCAGGGAACGAGGGTTGGCACCTTCGTCGATCCAAGACCGACGAAGGGCCGAAGGGAACGAACGGTAGCCAAGCAACAAATTGAAAAACACGTAACTAATTTGAGGGACGACCAACATTCGAGACTTTCGTCGAAGGTGGAGCAACCCACAGGGCGGGGACCACTAAACACAACTCTAAATGGGCCACGAAGAGGTTGACAAAAAAGTCTGGAAAACGTCAGAAAAAAACGAGAATAAAAAAACAAGTCGAGAAGGACTCGGCACGAACGAAAACACGAAATTAGACACTCACATCGCAGCACCCCAGCTCGAAATGTACAGAGGGGGCGAGCGTCATGAAAAGGGCGCCCGACGCAAACAAGACACCAGAAAGGCCAACAGGGGGGCCCGAAAGGCCAGTTTTATGGCACAAGAGGGGCCAGGGGTCCGTAAACAGGACGCGGGATGCAATTGCCAACTTCAAAGCAATACGGGGGGAGGGGCGTCATTAAAAACGCGCCAGACACACAGAACAACATCAAATGACCAACAAGGGGTGCGATTGCCCAGGTCAGAATGTCGAGAGAGGGACGGTATTACACCAAGGCAAAATAGCCAACAGGACACCAACGAACCGGCAGACGGCATCTGTAGGATCGCTGCCTACAGTGGTGTTTCTACAATACCTCGAGGAATCTTCCACAGGGGCGGTGATATCGGCCCCGCGGGATTCGCTTTATGTTTCTCCTACGGGCTTTAGTGGAGGGCGTTCCTTGATACCGCGCCAATGGCAGACGTGCAGCGGCCAGCGGAATGGGCGGTCTTGACAGGTCCCGGGTCGTCCAGAAAGCGACGATGCGGTGCAGCATGTCCAGAGACCTCGCCACCACACGGTATCTTCAGCTTTGTACTAGAACGCTCCGATTGGGATACGGAGCCGGCGAAACGGCGGGAATACACCTGACGAGTTACTTATCCGCACCCAGACGCGGACGTGCGCATTGCTCTTGCTGTGGGAAACTTCGCGTTCAGCGGCACCCCGATACACACACATGGGGAGGTAGAGGTGGTTGGCTTGGCGGTGTTGGTTGCGGCTCCCTGCCCGGTAGCGCGGGATCTGTCGGGGAAGTGCTGGAGGCCCCTCTGCCGCCCCCAGCAGGTGCGCCTAGTCAATGAGTTTCGTGCAAGACGGCGACGACGACGCCGCGTCCTGTACGCATGATTTCCCGGTTATTTATCTGTTTGGCCTCCAAACGCTCGACCGACGCGGTACACCGTCCGCGATAACATGGCACATGGCACGGCGGGGATGGGCGAGGGCGTCCGGCAAGAACGTTGGCATGTCTGCGCGTTCATGCGGGTTTGCGCAAGGTGTGTGTCGCGCGACGGATGCACGACACTTGACTTGGGGTCTACACCAGGCGTGTTCGAAGGTAGGTCGAGGTGCAGGAGTTAATTGACAAGTGGCCGTTGGTCCGGGGCATTCGCCAGCTGGACTGACGGCAAGGATTTTGACAGACCCGGTCCAGTTCATGGACAACTTAGCTTAGAGGAACTTGGCGGTTGTGCCAGCTTTACCGTCTTGGCAAATCGTGCCTGCAGAGTCGTATACTCACACCCAACCGCCGACCGTGTACACCGGTCATTGGTGCAGGACATATGATATTTGTGAATTCCGGCGTTGTGTGCGGGAAACGGTCAGGACGTGTTGTTCGCGGACCGGCCCAGATGATCCGCGCGGGCTGTCAGCAGCGATATCGCAGTACTACAGGGGGTCATGATTCGAGGCTTTGGTGCCCACGGGCGCAAAGTTATCAAAGACGGTGTGTTGAAATCGTGGGAGGAAACCCGCGTGGATTTCGTCCGCCGCCAACTCAGTGGCAGAGCTCACGGGGGCGTTGTATGCAAACTCGACGTGATGCACGTGACTACTCCATTCGTCCTGGCGGTCGTTGACAACCGTTGCAAGCATCTGGGCCATCGGGTGGTTCGCACACTCAACACCGCCATTCCCGTTAGGATGGTAGGCGCCGGTGGCAATTTTACGATTTGAGCTTGAGGGTTGCCGGTCTTCCGGCCGTGAACCAGTACAACCGGTCCCCACCGCTTTCATCTTCGTCAGCTTACGCACAAGCAGTGTGTTGCCGATGTCGTCGTAAAAACCATGCGTATGTAGACGTCCTCAAGGAACGAACGTTGTGCCGAAGGACCTTCGTCTAGGAGATCCAGAAACTCTTTGGTGGGGATCGATGGGCGTCCGACGACGATAAACCGCACGGCAGCCTTGCAGGCGGATTCGGCTTGTTGTTCACGGGCCCCATCCGAAAGATTGTAGCTCGAGACGGATATATGGAACAGTTCCGCGGCGGATAACGGCGGTGTGGAGGCACCGGTGGCGTTGCCGTTAGACCTGCTGGGCGTGTAGATCGTGTCCTGGGGGCGGAGGCAGCGCCACGACCTTCGGTGTGTGCCCGATTTTTATGGGTGTCGAGGGGACACGTGTGGGCGGTGTCTCGGGCGCGGCGATCCAAGCCGGTGGCCGTCGTGGACGACATGTTGCGCGAGTCGCGCGTGAGGAGGCCTTCTGTGGAACAGCGGACGGCGCCGTGGAGTTTCCAATGCAATCCACTAGGAGCTGGGGGAGTCCCGCACCTACGGCGATCGACGGCTTGTACGCGTAGAAATTTATACTGACGGAATCGAGCGCGGCCGGCCTGACTGGACAAACGAAGACAGCGGGAGTGGGCCAGGTGCAATCGAAACAGTACTCTTGCAGGATTGATGGGGCTGGGGGCGATGGCTTCTGAATGAGGCGAGGCAGGGAGAAAATGCAGGCCAGAGGCCGCAGAAGCTGCGTCGTCGCCCGAAGGCCAGGTAGGTGAGGCGTTTTTGGACGTGTCTTGGGCTCTCTTACACACCTCCGCATGCACTCCGTGCATGTCAATATGACTGATGCTTAGTGAATGGAAGCACATCTTACAAAAACCTCTTCACGGATCGGCTGTTATAGGGGTGTTAATCCGTACGTCACTGAGTTTATCCGACTTTCTTGTTTTCCTCGTACTCGAGAAGGGCAAGGCTGTTGAAGCAGTCGACGAAACAACAGGACTGTTGAAAACCTCGTCGTCGTGGCGTTGTTGTGGGGTTGTAGAGCTCAGAGAATTCAGCTGCGGAGAAGAAGAGAAAAAGGCAGCCACACCAAAAAGACGTTAAAGGGACGCTGGTGAAGGCAAAATGCTTGCGTTTGGCACCGTTGTCGCTTCGATTGAAATTCCTTCGACAGGGCACTCGAGGCGTTTGTCTCGCGAAGGCACCGCCGAGATTTCGTGGTCGTACCTTTCGCGAGCCGAGAGAAATCGGCCGCGGTCAAGAAAACGCGGTCAAGAATCTCTTTTCAAAAAACCGGTGCGGCGAATTTAGTTTGATGTTTTGTTTCCGTAGCTGAAACCAGTCCTATTCGGGTTGCAATTATCGTCAAGAGGTTTACTTACTTCGTCACCAAGAGGGTCCAACACTCTCTGTGCCATTCCATCGCCGAAGCACACCAGATGTGCCCCCCACCCCCCTTGTGGCCTTGGGAACTCGATACGTCGTCAGAGAATCGCGGCATGGTACCCCTCCCGACTGTTTGGTTAACAGTGCGCCCCCCCAAATGATTCCGCCAATCGATTCTCTTCATTGACCCTTTCAAATGACTGGCTTGCCACGCGAAGGACAACGAACAAAAAGTCAGCGAGCAGGTCCTTGTCCCCCTTTCACTGTTAAAATTTCAACGCATCCCTTCGCCTGGGATATTTTCTCGAACGGGTAGTCTTTCACTGATTGTGTTTTCTCTTTGAAAGAAAAGAGTCTCTTTGAAGGCGGAGTCGCCTGGAGTATGAAACTGCGGGTATCGCTTTCTCTAAAAACAAGAAAAATGGGCCGTGAACCAGTACAACCGGTCCCCCGCCGCTTTGCTCTCACCACCGCTTAGCTGGCCCAACACGCCACTCCATCCATATACAGCCAGTCCAATCGAGAGCAGGGATGGGGGGAGACAGGGAAAATGCAGGAAAAAACAAACACGAGCTTACAAACATTCGCACACCTCGCCCGCCACCGCAGCACTAGGGCTCACTCAGAGTTTGATCGTCCCCGTGCTTGGGTACGGGATACTCTCGCCATCCCTCCGCCCTCGCCCTCCAGAGACTTGGCACAGCGAAAACAATCCCATCTCCCCGAACCGTATTAAGTTGAGTCGCACGCGTTTCATGGCGGGAAAATCCATACACACAAGCATGATGGCGTTCTGGGATAAAAAGTTGCACCCTCCCCCGCTACACTGTGTCCAACGGAAGTACCTAGTTTCCGCGCGAAATTCGTTTTAGTTCTTAGTTCTGAAGGTTCGCTGAAACAACGCTCAATCCAACTACACCACCGACAAAGGGCGCACGGTTAAGTGCCAAGCTGGAAGTTACACAATAAAACACCTCTGGCACACAAAAAGAAAATATTACTTAGGAGGGAGATGGAGGAGAGCAAAACTGCCACTTTGGAAAACTCAGAAATGTCTCAAACTGTCGAAACACGAACTACGCGCTCCCGTAACATCGCCTTGTCCTACGCCAAAAAACACACCAAAACGCGCTATCATCGTCAAACATGCGCATCGTCACAGTCCCTACCCGCCCAAGGAAGGGATCGGATCTCACACAAGACGACGTAACGACAGCAAGAAAAGCATGTACAGCAGCAAATTGCCGTAGAGTCGGGGTTCGTGCGTCGAAAACGGCACAAATAACCGAAAAGCTCACGACAATGATAGCAACAACAACACAGCATCCATCAACAACAACAACAGCGACAACAGCGAGGAGGAGGAGGGTGGCGTAGTTTACAGCACGAAAGAAGCTCCGGGTCCAATACATCGTCTTGAATTATTCAATGCCAACAAATACATCAACCCAGGAAGGGGTTAAAGTCGCGCACTTCGCTGACGATGCCGACTGCCTTCTTGAGTAGGGAGAGCATGTCTCTCGAGATGCGTCTCCGCTCTGCTACGTCATCAGTCTCTCGCATGAGCTCTCCCGTGAGGTCCTCCTTGTACAGTTTCGACACCAGCTCGTTCTACCGGACACGTGCGCGGTGAAAAAAAAGCGGTGACAGCACACCCATGGCGTCAGAAACAACTCACTCTTGTCGAGGGCCGGGCCAGAGCATCCTAGACGCGGCAACATGCTCATGACACAATTCCAACTAATTCTCGTGCTAACACTAGGGCAGCAGAGTAGCAAACGTGATGCACATGTACACAAGCACAACACACACACAAGTGAGCAGAAACAGCCAACCAAGTGAAGAGGTTTGTTCTCGACGGAAGCGAAACATGTGCCGACACGAGCACCACGACTCGACTGGCTTGTGTTGAGCCGCTGGTCATCTGAAGGCGAGCATGTGCCGAAACACGCATGCCAACCAAAACAGGGCCCCACAAAGACACAGCCGTGCAGCAAAGTCTGTTTGTTGACCAAGCAGGCCGGCCAAGACTCAAGCTGTAGTAGGATGGCATTCGTGTACAGATGGTACCCGGAGACAAGAGAAACGTCCCTTTTAGGTCAAGGCGCAATTTATTTATTCGCCGCCATCGTCGAGCCCAATTTTTTTTTACATTATTCAAGTGGTAGAGTTTAGCGTAGGATCCACGGGTCGGTTGCGTTTCTTAGCCAACATTTCCAATTTTCGCGATAATTTGAACCACTTTTTCCACTAAAAAGGGTTCTCGATTACCGGCGCGAACTTTAGACAGACACGCCATCTATATCGTATAGAACGTTCACAATCATGGAAAACATCTCATTTCCCCCTGCATGCACTACGACAGGTTTAGAGCGATAACAGCGCACTCTCCCATCGCAGCTCCTATATACAGTCTACAGTGTGTCTCATGCGGTCAACGAGATGTGTGATGGCTTGTTCTCACGGAAATTTCGTTTCTCCGTCATGCACGGTACGTTAAAATAGGCACAGTAATGGGTAGAGCTCGGAACGGTGTTCTGATTCCAAGGCAGCAGCAACAACGAATGGAACGATGCAACTGATGCTGATGACGATGAACGCAAGTAAACCAACGTCGAACCTACGCAAGCAAGTAAGAGGTTGCCCACAAGCGAGAAAAAACGGGAGGAGCCGCCTCTCTCACCTGGAGCATGTTGATCACGTCGTTCACCAAAAAATGCATGATCGTCTTGGGGACCAAATCCTGCGATCGCAAGAAAAACATCGCACATCACACACGATATGTACACACAAGTCGGCAAGAATGAGGGGCGGGGCTCTAACTCGAAGACGCCACACACAGGAAATGAAATGGCGTGAGTGAGGCATGCAGAGGAAGAAGTGTCGATAGATGGCCAACCAACCGTACCGTGTCGATATGACGCGATTCGGGGTCATGTGATTCGTCTCTTTCATCCATGACCGGGGCCTGTCTCAAACAGATACCGGCGAGAACAGCCTGCCCACCCCATCAAACATCACCCCGTCCTCTGGTGACTATGATTCATGACCACGTCCGACAACCGATATCACGGGAAACAAGCTCAACAAACTATGGTTCACCTTGATGAACCTACGTAGTTGTCACTGAAAACAAAAAAAAAAAGGAACATACGAAGAGATATCAATACCGGTGGATTTGACACGTTGGGCTGATGTCGCCGAAGGTAGCCTTATCTAGGCAAACGCCCACGCCAACACATACGCAATGGGTGAGATATGTACGACACGTGGCATCCACGTGTTCTACTCCTTTGTTCCGACGTCAGATGCTATGCTTCGATGACCAAAGCACATGTTTCAATGTCAAACTAACAATACTGTAAAGCAGTCAGACACACATTCATCAGTGTTAATGCGACAAGTAGATTACTTGCCTGGAAGTTCTTTCTGGCGATGTCGAAGTAGCTTCTCATGAGGCTCTTGATGATCTCCATCTCGCATCGCTCTCTGTCCGTCGGCTCGTCCGATTGACGCATCGTTTCCGGCGGCTAGACAGGGTAACGGTAACGGAACAAGGCACGAACCGGGAAATTCCACACTCACTCTCAAGTTGAATACAAGATGATCAACAACCAACACATGCAGGCAATGCTTCATTCATGAGGTGCAACAATATTCGTAAGACAGAACACAGCAGTCTGGCGGCAAGGCAACAACTCAAAAAAACTCCATCACCACGCCCAAGGCAGCACACACGCGTTGACATATGCAAAGAGAACGGCCAATCATCATCCAGAGACTGCAGCAACACAAGGCTGATCAAGACCCGAAAATAGACACTTTACACGCCCAGCACGACACTACCTACACCTTTGGCTTGGATAAAACCTACACCGCACAAGACCAACCCGTGATGCACCAGCTAGTGCTGCAAAAAAATGGGGGGGGAGGAGGGGGGGTCGAGAAGATTACGATCAAACTATTTACGTGTGCTTCCGTTTCGTGGTACTGGTGTTGTGCTTGTCGATCCACCCCAAGACGTTCTGAGAGTCAAACCTTCGACCTTCATGTGATAGCTCTGCTTGGATGGAATCCAGGCCAACGCAAAGCGATCCATGCATTTAGCAGCTGAAACCGCAACATGCCTAAAAAAAACAAGTACACCGTTACAAGCGCTTCGTAAAAGCAGGTCAAGCACTACCTAGTGCTACGAACATCGTGTTCACAAGGCACACCACACACCCCGATGCCCCCCCCCCAAGGGCCCACCTGTGGAAGCTTGACCATCTGCGGAGGTTGTCTTCCCTGCTGCTTATCCTGCTGCCCGCCTCCAAAGATAAACGACATCAGGCCTCCCCCACGCTCCTTCTCCTGGTGCCGCGACCCGCCGCCGCCGTCCCCCGACCCGCCGCCGCCGTCGCCCCCTCTCTCCCCATACCTCGCGTGCTGCTGCTGCTGAGCCCCTCCTCCCCCCCCCCTAAAATCGTTAGAGCTCCCGGCCCTGCTGCTGTCGGGCAGCCCGCCCCACGGCTGCTGCCCGATGCCGCGGGGGCCGGGCCCAAAGCCTCCGGGGCGCTCGGGTGGGGCTGATGCCTCCCGACCCCTTGCCCGGAAGGTTTTGGTGGGGGGGGGGACCCCATTCCCGGGGGAGTCTGAGGGGCGTTTTTTGGGGGGAAAGGCGTGCGTGATGGGGGGGGGGGGGGGGGCGCAAGAGTAGGTTCGTCAAGGGACGGTCGACGAGCTTCGAATTATGGGATTCAGCAGGGCAGGCTGGTTTGGAGGATTGGTGGCTAGCAACACTTGAACAAGGTTAAGCCTACTGCAGGGTCACTGTGCTGCCTGCCCGCGGTTCTGAGCGGATGCACCGCACGAAACACCAAGCACTCAACGGGTCATGAGCCAGCAACGCACACGCGTACATCACGAGGCTGCAGAGAGGAGAAGGGGTCCGACGGACGGTCTAGGGAACGCTGTGTGGCGAAAGAAAAAAAAAAGAACGCTGCCAGTCTGAGAACAACTAGAGATTCTCATGTTAAGAAGAAGGGCCCCTCAATCTGGGCAGCCGAACCACAAGCTCAAGTTTATCAAGTACCATTGCTCCGTGTTTCCCGATCCAGGCCGAGGGAAGGACTAACTACTAACTACGCGCTTCCACCTTTCCCGCCGATCTAGGACAATGGTATGTACTGCTGTTCTCTGTTCTCACGTCGTTTCCGCTGCCACCGCCACCCCCGTTGGGCGTCCTATTCCTCTCCATAACCTCGGCGATCGCACGGCTGCCTCCGATGAAGTCGGGGTGGGAAGTGTTGATGTACGCCAGCTCTAGCTGCTCCCGGTCACGAAAGCAAAAAAAAGGGGGGAAATTCAAGTCAAGCTAACACGCGCCAACGAAAAAAAAAGGGCTCGGCACCCCTGCGTAGAATACGCTTGGGCAGTTGTTTAGATGCAGGGAACATGTGCGCTGGGCACCACCCCCTATACTCCAGCAAGTCAATTGGTCAGAAGGGGTTACATTACAGGGTTCACAAATGCTACGACATACAACACACAAGATATGCGTTTGAAACGGCAAGCTAGATTCTCGGACAACAAGAACCATACGAAGAACACAAAGTGTGCCCACCGCTGACCATACGCCCCCCCAGCCGCAAAGCCCAACCTCTCACCCTTGACCCACCTTAATCAAGTTGGAGATCATCACTTGCGTAGGGTTCATGCACTTTCGCAGCAGCTGGTGATTCACCTGAAACATTTCGCAACAACAGAGAGAGGAAAGAGAGAGAGCCGATGCGGTGCCCTTGTTTAAGGTGGGAGAGTGGAGGGTGGAGGGTGGAGGGTGGAACACAGCCCGAAAGCGTAGACTATTAATAGTCAACGAAAACCGATGTATCACGAAGTACAGCCTCTGCATGGTAGCAAGCAGTTACACGGCCCTTTCATATCCCCTTCTGGGAAGAAAAATCTTACGTTCCGAACTAACTTCCGATTCCTACAGCAAAACACTTTCTCACACGAAACGCGCCACGGGGATCAGAGAGGAAAAGTACCGAGAGAGAAGGACCGCGGATAGTCGGCGGAGCGACGTTAGCAACCATTGGACTGTTTCGCAAGCGGCGGAGATCCTTTCGTCTCTAACGAACCACACTACAATAGCACTATTCTAGCACTATTCTAGCCAACCCTCTCACGTACCTCCACAATCCGGTCTCGCAAACAGGGGAAACGGGTCAGCTCCGTCCCCTCACACTGAGCCGCGATCCTTTGCATCTCGTCGAAGACCAAGTCAGCGCACTGGAGGCCAGGCTGCATGGACCATGCACCATGGAAGATAGAAACAAAGACCAGAGAGACGGCGGTAGAATCAATGGGGGGGTTGATAAGATCATGCGGTGAGGTGGGCTATGCCCTTGGCGAAGCTTCGCAACGCTATCGCTGGATGTAAACCAACGGTACTCAAGTGTAGGGCAGGGGGTACCGGGCATGTGTACTTCTGCTGAAGAAAAATAAACTCACGCCGCCATGTCTTCCTCGAAAGCGTACTTTAGCCTTTAGCCTTTCGTACTTGGTTCCTTCGTCTACAGCGTCTTCATTGAACGTATGGTGAGGCATGGAATTGAACACCCGTGGCTTCCGCCTCCTCGCACACTTGCCGTCTGCAATAACCTTGACACAAATTCCGATGTCGTACGTCGTCCAACGCCACCCGTGCACTACCCTACCCTTGACTGCCGCCAGTGCAAACTACCCTCAACGGTTCCTTCGCCGGCTTAAGCTTTGGCCTAACGGCGACGGGACGCAACGAAAAAAAAAAAGTGCTGAGAAAACGGCATCCCGCCTCGCCCAATAAATCAACACACGGATCACCTGTTCCAGTCTGGCAATCTGCTTGCGAACGAGCAGATCAAATGACATCTCCGGCACAAAGAGGCTAGGCCTGGTGCCGTTGGCGTTGTAGATTGCCGTTCGGATGTCCTGGTCCGTGAGCCCCTCGAAGGGGTCGATGGTGGCCAAGCTGTGAGAGAAAATCTCGTGGAAAATGTAGCTGCCGTGGGCACGAACGGCAGCGGTAGCACGCAGGGGAACAACGAATCGATTAAAAAAAACGGCAGCATTTGTGGCAGCACCCACAGGCTGTGGAGACTTGAAAAGAAAAACGGAAAAGCCCACGAAAAAGTGAAGCAGGACGCGGAGTATAGCGTGTGCAAAGAAACAAGCGACAGCAACGGCTGGGCTGGCAAACAAGAGCAACCACCCGAGATAGATGTTCCTCTGCCGTGTCCGGTAGGCAACGGACGAGTAGTCTGCTCCCAGTTACCAGTGATATTTTCCCCCACGATAACTTCCACCAATCTAACAAAGAGTGAGGAAAGGAGAGCAAAACCCCCCATCACGACCAGACGAGGCCGGGGAAAACCCCACGCTCTTCTTGGAGGGATTTCCAGCATTTTCCAGCCGCCCAATGGACACCGACGGCCCCTGTCAACCCCCCGCTATCACCACCACCTCCACCCGGACGATGCCACCAATCACGAGGAGAACCTCGCTTTTCTTGCTCCCCTTGTTGTATCATGCACGGCGGCGTACGGTAGCTCGCTCCCGTCACGCACCTTATCCTAGCCCCGCCGTACAGCTCGTTCATCTCAATTCCGTCCGGCGACGAGCCTCGGCCATCGACCGCCGCGTGGAAGTTCGACGCGAACTTGGACAAGAGAGTAAGCTGTCACGACGAAACCAAAGAGAAATATTTGACGGGAGAAAAGAACACGCCGTAGCGGTTACGGACAACGAGCGGTGCCGAGGGGTGAGGAGGAAGATCAGTCGCGGCTGCGCACTTGGGATGCCGGCACGTGTGTCGCCAAAAACGGGGAGCACAAGTGCTACTGATGAGGCTACGGACGGGATCAACCGGCAGCTTCTAACCAAGCATGGTCAAACACAGCAACGATAAAACCGTTCGACCAAGGCATTTAGCAGGTCGCTGGGACCATACCCACGATCACGTGAGTCCACTACAGCAGTATAGTAACATCGCACGTCTTGTGATTTATGGTCTCTCTTGCCTCAAGTCTGTGGCACCAAGCGACAGCAGCTATTCGTTCCTCGTTTCTCGTTTCTCACCAAGGTAGCCGTGAGAGAGGCGCCAGACACGCAGTCCGTCGGCTCGCCGAGCTCAGCCAGCTCTTGAGACACGCTCTGCATCATCACGTTCAGCTTGCTCTTGATCTCCGGCAAACAGTCGCGGATGTGGTGCATCAAGATCTGCACGTTCACGTTTTCGATACGGCGCGGGGGAATCGTTACGTACTACAGTTCCAACGCATCCCGTCGGACAGGACTACTCCAATTCCCGCATTTTGTGCAACAGAAGAACGTACATAACCCACCTCAACAGCGACAATAACAACAAGGTGTACAAAAAAAATATTATGATACCGTTGTAGGACAGGAATACGCCGCGGGAGCACCAGACAAGACTACAGCCAATACGCGCGGGTAGCCCAAAACATTTTCCCGCCGAATTGTTCGCACTCAAGCACGAAAGCTACCATGATATGCATGCTAGAAACAAACTACTCGGGTCAAATCACCTGGTTGAGGGTCTTGGAAAGGTTGGTCGTTCCAACGCGCTTGTCGAGGCCTTTGTAGGCAGGATGGTCTCTGAAATACGCCGCCTCCTTCTGAAGGGCCTGTTGTCCACACCGCCACCCGTGCAAGAAATCACAACCACAGCGGCTGAGTCGAAACTTGCAACGCTCGGTGAGGAGTCAGGCAATACAAGGCGTGCGGCGTCGCCACAGGCCGCATGCACTTTCCAAATACAGCGCCTGCAACCCGTAGACAACATTCCTGACACTCGACAATGCTACAGCCACCTGGGCCCTGCGACACCAGCCAGTACCACAACTTTTGAAAAGTGGACAGGCATATTGTAGGCAAACCAAAAACGGGCCAAACACCGCCCCGATCACACCGGCAATGCAATGAGTGCGGTGACGTCAAGACTGGCACAGGCGAGTATTTCGTTCCGTCCGTTCGCCACAGGCGACCGTTCTTTCGCGGCGAAGCTAAGTTGCTGAAAATTTCACAAATTGGCTTCGGCTTCGGCTGAACGCAACAACAGCGAACTGTATGATACGTGCGTGTTTACTTGCTTAAATTCCGTTGTTTATTGTTCAACTTTTGGCTTGGGGCAGGAAAAAAAACGGTCCTACGAACGACAGACTCGGGGATAGCGTCTATAGGACGCAGCACACCATACGCTCACCTGCCGAATGCTGACCCCGTCATCAATGTCCTTCTGTCCGCGGTTGATTACACCCACGAACCCTCGCTTGAGGGGGATAATTCGGTTGTCCAGCATGTCCCCAGCATCGGTGCCTGCTCGCACAGCAACACGGGCAGCGCACTCGTTGAGCACACACACCAAAACCGCCTATCGGTGGTACCGGCTAGCAGTCACCCTACATGACAAAATGCTCACCTTGGCACTAGGGGACGGGCCAGAATGCGAGAGCGAGGACATCCGAACAAAGAAAAGAAACCCACGATGTCAACTCACACACGACGAACAGTATTCACGAGCGAGAAAACGACAGCTTCCTACCAAACAACAGGCGCCTGCCTGGAGGGGGGTCGTCTCTAACACTTCCTCGTACCGGGGTCCATGAGGTCGATCTTGGTGAGAACGCCGACGGTCCTGTCCCCTTTGGGGTCCACCTCCCTCGCCATCTTGAGGGCGTCGCTGTTGGCCAGGTCGGTGTTCGCCGACGTTACGGAGAGGATGATGGCGTTCGGGTTCTTGATGTACTGCAAGCACATGCCTCGGATCTGCTCTTCGATGTCGGCCGGCTGGTCTCCGGTGGCCACCTACGGCGGAGGGAAAGAAGGAACACTCGTTGGAAGCTAAAAAGACAAAGAGGGGGCAGACGACGTCTACGTCTCCAATCGCGCGAAACACACGCTCTTACACGCCCGGTCGTCGCCAACACCTGGGCGTTTACGTCATTCACGATATGCGGGGCTTGTGCAAGGAGGCAAAGCGATGGTACGAGCGTGGAACCAAAAGAAAAAATACTACTTCGAAGTATATAGTGGATGCTGCTGCTGCTGCTACTGCTGGCCGGCGCACCTTGGTGATGCCCGGCAGGTCAACCATGGTGAGGTTAAGCACGAAAGGCGAGTAGATCCGGAGGTTGATGCTCTTGGCGGATATCCCCTTGTTGTTGCCCGTCAGCCTGTCCGTTTCGCGGATGATCTCCTCCCTGATCTCGGCGAAGTTAAAGAACTTCTGGCCAGGGAGATGGAGGAATTCCCTGTCGTCATTTGCGACGTCGAAGGCGAGAGAGGGGAGGGGAAGAAAACGCGCGGTCCTTGATGGTGTTCGTACGGCTCACAAATGCAAACACATGCGGTACGGTGTGCTTGCTGCCTATGCTGTGCTATTTTGGTCCTATTATAGGGCCTCGCTGATTCACCATCGAACTGCCTGGGAGCCAGAAAATGCTATACCTTCCTGTAGACTCCCAAATCCAGTGCAATATGCACGTATAATCGCGAACTACAATACCCAAAAACCTCGGAGCCAGATTCTCCCACACAAAAGGACCCCGGACGCAACGGACAGCACTAGCACCAGTGCTCCATGCTTTCTTCAGCCCACCTCTCTCCCCGGGACGGCTCGAAACTCACCCCCATTCTCTCTCCGGCGTCGGCGGCTTCGGGCTAGGCGGCGGGCTAAGCCCCCCCCCAGCCCCGGGCCCGCTCCGGCCTGTCCTGCTCGGCGTCCTCGGCGCACCCCCAGGCAACACCGAGCCGTTCGAACTCCCCCCGAAAGCAGCCACGCGGCCCCCGACAAGCCCTCCAGAACCCGAGTCCTGCCTACCGGTCACCGTGTAGCCGGATTCTTTGCGGGGGGGGGTGGGAGGGGCGGTGGGGGAGGTACCGGCGGGGCCGGCAGCAGCAGTGGCAGCAGCAGAAGCGACCCCCGAGCTCCCGCGCTTGCCGCCCATGGTGCCGGCGGTGTTGTAGAGCTGCAGGATGAGGGGGCGGCGGGTCACGATGCCCGTGCCTCGGGGCAGGAAGTCGCGCCCCACGACGTTTTCGAGGACGCTGCTCTTGCCCGAGCTCTGCGAGCCGATGACGACGATCTGTGGGAGGTCGATGGGGGTCTGCCCGATCGCGCTGAAGACATCCTGCAGCTTGTTGACGACCGGAATCAAGTCTTCCATCGCCATTTTTATGGGAAGGGTATGAGCGTGTGCGACGTCTCCCGTGGTCGCGTTACGTCTCTCGGCAATCGTTTGTGATCGGACAGTCTGCTGTGGTTGTCCACCCTCACCTCGGTGGCTGCTTTGGAGGTGGGATGTTGGAAACGTGACGCGTAGTAGTCGGGAGAGGTCGGTTGATCAATATGCTACAGCAGTAGCAGTTGTACGTTGTCACAACGCTTGAATATAAAACTTGGGGGTAGAGCACGATCTCCCTCTGCAACGCTTTAGCTCTACGAATCTCCTCTAGAATTACGACTCCATCATATCCAATCTCCAGCAGTCTAGTTGAACACACAACGACAACTTGGGGTTGCTGCTATCCTCGCTGGTCTGAAGGAAGAACACTGCCTTCCGTATCGTACACACAGCAGTACACTCCGGAGACGCCCAGCGACCGCGCGGAGAAAGCAACACTGCAGTGGTCCCCACCCACCTCGACTACTTCGGCAGCGATGTAGGCTTCCCCAAGTGCAGCCAGTCGCATCCACTCTCGCCTTCGCTTCCAGCAGCGGCAGCAGCAGCAACAGCAGCGCTCTTTCGCCTACCTGCTGTGAGTTCTCAAAACTTCCCCAGGACCGTTCTGTGTGTGATTTGCCGCCGTCTTGCTGCTGCAGCCAAAAGCCCCCTACCCTGTACAGCAGGGTCGGTCAGTGTATCGACGTGGTCGATGGCTTGCTATTCAGTGGGGATGGTGAGCACAGCAGTAACTGCTGCAGCTGCTGCTGCTGGGGTTTGGGGCGTGGTCTCGCTGCTCTTCTTTCCTCTCTCTTCGTCAACTCTCAACGGGCAAAAACGCCGACGGCGTTTATAACACCCAAATCTCCGAAAACACCGCGCGCGGAATCGGAGATCAGGAGTCACGTCTCTCCTCAAAGGAGAGCTACACACCGCACACATCGTCATGGCGTGTCCTCCACTGAGCCTCGTGCTCTGCTGCGTACCTTGCTATGGCCATGCAAAGCCGCTGGTTCTCCTGGCGGAACATCTGGCAGAGGCTGGTCACGAGGTATGTAGCGCCACGGCTGCTGAGTACCGCTCTCCGCGCATGATCCGCTGCACCCAATCGTGATTTGTTCCGCGTCGCGTTGTGTTTGAAATTGAATATGTTCTTGCCTTCCATGGGTCGAACCTGGGAGACGGGATGGGTGCAAGCTCCTGCTGCGTGTGCCTTCTTTTGCCATGGAAACCTGGGGGTGGCGAAGACGTGTCGGCTCCAGCTTGAAATCGTTGCGTGCAAGGTGGACGTGGTGTACAACAATGCACACCCCACTTTGGGTATTTCGATGTCAATGCGTGATCGTCGACACTACAACGCTTTCCCATGTGCATATCTATACAAAAGTAGCTTTTGCACGATATCTATCCAAGCTCCCTAATTGCCGCTACCCAGCTTCGTGACATCGTGCACCTACACCCCCAAGCATTGTAACGTCCCAGCAATAAAAAGCTGTGCTGCGGAGCACGCTCTTCGTTACTTGCCGACAACAGCAATAAATCGTGAACATGAACTTAAGAGTGATAGCCTAAGAGTTAGAGTTAGAGGATGGACACACAGAAATCCAACCAATGCCGCCCCGTCCCGTCCGTCCCCGGTTGATCGTAAATCGTTTTGTTGCACCGACACAGGTCACCTTCGTCACATCGCAGCCCATGGTAGCTCGCATACAAGGGATGTGCAGGGACCCTCGCGTGGCGGTATTGGGACTGCAAGACGAGCTTGTACCCGAGAGCGATCACTTCCTACTAGGAATGGTAAGGCAAGAGCTTGAGCGTGGTCGCCGGCCTGTCAAACGACAAGAGCCAGCGAGATGGCACCTGTAGTATCTACTTTGAATGTCCACGCTTCGTCGCTGCGCGTGTGTTCGATTTGTCGCGCTGCGTTTCTGCGTCCGACGGGGCTGTCGGGATCGAAAGGAAGTGGCGAGGTGAAGTTTTTAGAAAGTAAACATAACCTCACAAAAAGACTACCCGTTCGAGATATAACCTCAGTCGAAAGGGATGTGGTGAAGTCTTTTCAGTAAGTGGATTTAAACCGACTGGAGACTGGGCTTATTTGGAGTTTGTGTAAGCCTTACACTGAGTTATCAGTGATGCCAGTTGGTGCTAAGAACAAAAACATTTGTTAAGGCGGATACATTCTTAATTTCAACACATCCCCCGTAGTCCGGTAGTTTTCTACTGGGTCGACGACAGAACTATCGGGGAGAAGGGAGAAGCTCTCCGTAATGTCATGTGCTATATGTAGAATGTGGCCTTCACAGGGAACATGGCGCAGTGTCGTTTGACAACTTGCTGTTTTTAAAAAAAACTTGGTGTGCTGTTTTAGACGACTTGAATATAGACTACAGTATGTACAGCAGTGGACAGCTGTTGTACATCTACCACAAAATGTTTTTGGAAAAAAAATGAATTTCAATAGTTGGAGTTGTACTGCTGTAGATTTGAGTGTAGCAGTTTCCCGCTCATTTTGAAATCTACAATGTTATGTTGTTCATCGTGTGTGATGAGTGTAGGTGAAACGCGTTGAAGGCGAGGGGGATACATAGGATAGTAGGTTAGGAGTGATACTGATTTGCAGCAATAGAGTGTAGTCCTTCTTGTGTAACGTATCAGCGAGGCAAATGAACAGGCGGCGGTCAGCACAGCAGTTTGCAGTCAATGTAGGAAGAACTTCCCTGTTTTTCTTCGAACGGTGCGTGTCGAAGAGTGTTGTCGAGACCGTTTGTAGCGTGTCTCAGCCATGTTGTAGAGCATCCTTCATGAAAGCCAGTACTAGCAGCAAGTTTTGTTTTTCGTCCTCATTCGTCGCTTCTCCTCCAACCGTCTTGACTGTCAATGGACTCGGGCAACAGGGTTCGGCAGCCTCTGTGAAGATGTACAGCAGTATTGCCATGATGTTATTTATTTGGGTCGTAAGCATACAGCATGATGGTTCGTGCAAATAGGTCACCTCGCCAGTACCAGCTTATTTGTGTCAATTCGTTCCCATGTTGTATGCATAGACTGCACACACCTAACTGGTATACCCGACCTTTCTTCCTACTTCTACATGCCTCCCTGCTGCTGTGCTCTATCCCCCTTGATCCCGCCCGATGGACACGGCAGCAACCGCACGTGAAGAAACACCCGGTTTGGTACGCGGAGGAGAAAATGACCCCTTCCTTGGTGACGTTGATCAAGGGCATGCCTCGCCCGCCGGACATGATGGTACGTACGATACTCAGGGCGAGGCTCCAACCCCTTCCCCCCGTAGACCAAACCATGGGCGAAAGACAAAGATGCCACTCCTTTTGTATCCTGCTTCGGTCTCGCTAGGGTAGCGCATGGCGCTCTTTGGATTTAACAGTGGTGGTAGCTATGCTCCAAAGATACCACCGTACTCCTCGTGCAATATTTTCATTGTTATTGTAAGACTCTTTGCCAACATTAGTCCCGGCAAACGATATATTGTTTTAGTCATAGCATGATGTCAAAAGTGGCACGTGTGCCGATCATCGATCGGCAGAATCACGTCGTCGGAAATTTCCTTTGGACCGGGATGCTCCTGTTTGTGATTGTGTGTGGTGTGTTGGGGGCGGCGCGAGGTATGCACTGAGAGCAAACCACGTGTCTTCACACTTCCAACTCAACCCAAAAATAGTCGGCAGCTGCACGTGTAGCTTCTCCAAGTACAACACGCTTAGTGCGTGAACTGTTGATTCCTGTGCTTGGTAGTAAGGTGAAAAGCTTGAGGAATTCACCCCCTCCGTTCATTTCCTTCCCGCCACACACCACCACCTGGAGACAGATCAGCGACCACCTGACGTGGGCGGGGGCGAACGCGGCGAGGATCGTCGGGGTGAAACACGCCTGCCACGTCGCGTGGCCGCTCTTCATGCTCGAGCAATGCGGCTTCCTACCCGCGCGCTCTCTCTCGGGCGTCCTCGGGGCCGCTGCCCGCGCCCTCCGCTCCAGCCGCCTGGCCCCCGCTTTCTTGAAACCGCCAGGGCCGCCGAGGGCGATGTTGGACCGCGTCCGACAACAATGCTTGGGGGTCGAAGAGGGCTCGGCGGGGCTGGTGCTGGTGAACTCTTTCGGGATCGAGCCTCCGCGGGCCTTGCCACCGTGCCTCAAGGTCATCGGTCGCGGGCACCTGCCGGAGACGGTGGAGGCCCTGGAGGAACACCCGGAGCTCAAGGTACGGTTTGATGCACGGGGTGGGGGGTCGAAAAATGGAAACCGCGGGGGGTGTCTGTCTTGGGGGTCTGGAGGGTCGGTTGTGAATGCGTCGAGATGGTTCCGCGCAGCCTTGAATGAACTGTCTCTGTTTGACTTCTCTTGGTGGAAGGAAGGGTGTTGGTTTGTTTTGCTAATGCGTTTCATTCTCAAGCAACCCATTCCCGCTAGAACCCGCGTGTTCTCGTTAATCTCACCCCGCACACGAGTTCGATGGGGGCCTTGTCTCACTCACCCACCGCTCCCGTTGCCTTGTTGCCACTGGTGGTGCCGCGATCGTTGGACAGACTTTCCTCGACAGCAACGACGCCGTAGTGTACGTGACATTCGGGAGCCGCGTTACACCCCCCCCTTCCCTCGTGCGGGCCGTGGCGGAAGGGCTGGTGACCGGAGGTTGGGCTGTGGTGTGGTCGCTGAAGGAGGCCGATGCTTCACACCTTCCTCCGGGTGAGTTAACGGTAGCAGGTCGAGTCTGTGCACAGACAGATGAGACAGTCCTGCTGTAGTGTTGGAAAATACGAGAGACGGACACTCTCGTTGCATCCCAGACGGAGCTTCACGCGCCGTTTTAGGGACAGGCGTGCTGTAGACGCTGCGGTTTGCAAGATGAGATGGGGTGATGCATAAGACCCGGACGAGTCGCGGCGGACGAATCTCGTACAATCCACGTGGTGCTTTCGTGTGTATACACAAAATACCTAGTTCATTCAGTTGCTGCCAAGGCCGGCAGTACGAAGGAAGGGAACGAGTGAACTCGTCAATCATGTGCTTGCCACCGAGTCCTTTCGTTTTCCCTTAGCTGAGTCCGTTCCGATATCATCCCACGCGCTGACAAACGTTCGTGATGCTGTTTGTTTTCTACAGCCGCTCTCGCGTCGGGGAGGTTCTTCGTTCGGCCGTGGCTTCCCCAGGGTGCCGCACTCGCCCACCCGCACGTCAAGGTCGCGGTAAGTGAACGAAAAAACTGTCGGGACCGTTTGCGGCAGTGCTCGTGCTCCATGAACGAACGGAGAGGCGAATACTACCTCTTCGAGGTTTTAGGGAATATTTTCGTGAGGATTAATCTCTGCGTACAGAAGCAAACGGAGTTATATTTACCCGACTTGCCGTGACTCAACGTCAGATGAGAGAGCGTTTCACGATAGGGTTGTATATACCACGGGTCAAGACCGCGGTTCGTTCATCCCGATCAAGCACTAAAGAGCCTCCTCTCCCGGCCAGCCAACTAACCAACCCCGCCCCGTGTCCAGGTGACGCACTGCGGGATGGGCGGGCTCTACGAGTGTGCGGTGAACGCCGTCCCCATCGTACCGCTACCTTTCTCCCTGTCCGCGGACCAGCCGGTCAACGCGGCCATCGCGGAGGCGGCGGGTTTCGCGGTCCGCCCGCGCCCCCTTTCCAGGAAAGCCACCGATTTACTCAAGTTTTGGAAGCGTCGCGGTGACCCGGAATACGCTCCCGCGGCCATTCACGACGCCGTGCTGAAAATTTTGCGAGACCCGTCGCTGGCGGAGGGCGCACGCAGGGCGAAGCGCGCCGCGCTTGCGGCGGGCTACGGGCGCGTGGCGGTGGATGCTGTGGAGTCGACGTGAGTGTGTGCTGCTGAGAATGGATGCTGCTGGTGCGATTTATTTGTGCCCCGGTTGGACTGTCGTGGCTTGTTGGTGTCGAGGGTTTGGGGTTGAATTTCCGTGGGAATTGAAATGTTCGGTCGTGTGCTCCTAGTGACGCTGGTGTTGTCAGGGCAAGCAACAATCAGAGCTGAGCATCCCGGAGTAAACCAGCCCCGACACGATGGCTTTCGACTATTTATTAGTAGCTGTCTTGGAAAATACCATCCGCCCTTCGCTCACAAGCGCGGTTTTAACCTAGTGTGATTTCGCAAACTCGCTCTCGCACACAAAGAACCCTCACATCACACACCGCCGTTCGTCCACCCACGTCCCACCCAACCCTACCGACAGCTGCCTTTACGGCACAGATAACCTGCCCGCGGAAAACGGAGGGATCGGAAATGCTGCCGGGGCGACGCAAACGTTGCGGCGTATTGTTGGGGGAGTCGTTGTTGGAGCGGTGTTGTCGGGTTTGTTGGCCGTCAAGCTGTCGCATGGCGGGAGCCGCCGAACACGGTAATTTGTGTGAACCCCGTTTCCAGCGGTGGAAGTTTTGGAGTTTTCCGTCTGTATCAGACGTATCCCGCACTGGCGGACGTCCCGAGGCATATACAATAGGGTCTTGGACTTTCGATGTCGGCGGTGTGGCATCGAGTGTACCCGGGCTCAGTGTAGCCCGATGTGATTGTTGAAATTTTGACAAACCAACCAACCAATCATCCAACCCGTCGCGACCGCTAACAAAGCAGTTTTCAGCCGTTGGCCCTTCAACTAGTGTGGGCGAAGTGCAGCAAAACGCTTCTTCTGATGTCGCGGGAGCCAACAACATGTGTGCAATCATGAAGCGTACACTGGAGGTCGGAGAGGAAATTATTTGTACACTAGGCGTTGGCACCGGCATCGGTCGCATTGGACGCAGCTTCCTTCTTGCACATCTGAGGTTCCTCAAACGATCAATCGTTCAGAGACGAGCCGCCTCTAACCGACGTCCAGCACCAAGACATCGCACGACCGGTTACCGCACGAACGTGTGGGCATGCACACAAGACTGAAATTTGGCTCTCGCTCTATGAGCTCCAAGACACCACGCATGATACGCCGGAGCGATAACGATGTTGTAGCGCGGTGGCGTTAACAATCACTCAACATAACTACTAAATCCCCGTCCTCCCGTCTATACACAAGAGAGGCCATCGGTGCACCCCTGCACACCAACCGCCCTCTGTTCAGGCCGCGGCGACCTCCGAGCCCTGCCCCCCGCTCCCCTTCCCAAGCGCACCCGGGCACCTGACGGTGAAACACGCAAAATCATTTTTTCCGCGGCACACACTCTCGGTGTTGTATTTCGGTACAAGCCGCCCAACCACCCTCCCCCCCGCCGAGGCACATGTCTGCTGCGAGGTCCGACATCGAGTCTAGGCAAACTCTCTTCAAGAGCCAAATTTAGCGACCAAGAACGCCGCAACCTCGTGTTCCCTGGGCTTAGATGTTGGTTGTGTCCATTCCGGCCTCTTTCCGTCGTACCACGTCGCCCACGAGGGTGCCCCATGAAGGACAGCCCTTGGATCGCGCTCCGATGCGGCCGTTTTTCTTGAGGATCAGCGAGAATCCCTCCTTCAGAGGGTCGATCCCTTGCGACAAGGCCGTCTCCACCTGCGTTGGTGCCGTCCAAGAACACCACACACGCAGCAGTATTTAATTGCGCGTTCGCGTGTGCCAGGAAGATTTTTTGAGTGTGGGAGCGTGGTGAGAGGTGAACGGTTTCGCCGTAGTTTGCTGCCGAAGTGGGTGACACTTGGAAACTAGGTTCACACAACTGCGTGAGTCCGTTCGTAACCTCGTCTCTTATGGTTCTGTTGTAATGTTGTGGGTTCAAATGTATCCCTCCGGATTGAAACGAGTGAAAAGTTCTTAGACGAAGAACCTGAGGGTGCACAACCGATGGGGATAGCGGGGGCCTGACCGTACAGCAGAGGGTCCTGCTGAACGACGCACCGCAAGTAAGTCCAACCGCACTAAACCACTGGATACTCCCTCGCTTGAACTAGAAAATAGCCCCCATCACCACACGCTCTCCCCCCCCCCCCCCTGCCCCCAATCGCTCGGCACCCACCTCGCTGTCGATGTACTCCTGCCAACGGTTAAGGGCCACCGGCAACGCGACGTGAGCGCTTCCGACCGCCGACTCGAGGTCGCTCTCCGCCCCCGACGCCCTGAACATGTCGGCCCCGCCGCCGGTCATGCCGGGCCTCGACTCCAGAACCAGCGGCACGATCAAGATATCGCTCGTCTCGAGAGCCGCTCCGTATGGCAGGGCGGACTCCAGGGACGACTGGACGGCTTCAGCGCCGCCGACGAGAACGGCCACTCGCTTGTCCCTGCCGCGGTCGCGCCTCAGCGCCGACAGCGTGACCGTAGACAGGTCGTCTTTCGTCTGGATCGGTTTTGGGCGTTTCGATGGCCGGGGGGAAACGCGGGTACGATTGAGGGGATTGGTGGGTGTTCTTGACGATACGTCTTGGACCATTTTGCTGCCGTACCTCTTCAAAAATCGTGCTATTAATACATACTATTGCGCTAGACAGACATTTCTGGCTAGCAAGACTAAATAATCCAGTCGCCCCTCTCTCGCGAACATGTATGTATTTGTATTTACTTGGTTTGTGCGTGGCCGAGTGGGCGAAGATCGTGTCAGCAGGCGGGCAACAACCTCTCCAAGATTTGTTCATGCGAAAACGACAATGACACCACGAAAACGAGGACCTCAGACAAACGGTTTCGCAAACGCGCAGGCCGCTGATGCGTCCGCACCGACGATAGCAATGATGCCCGCAGTTTTCTGTTTGGTCATGTTCGTAAAAAGGAATCTCGTGTTGGTGAACAGTTTCTGGTCGACTGGTGACGTCATCCAGGGGGCGACGTCACGTTCGGGACCGATTCAAAAATTTCATTTTTTCTCCAACCAATCACAATACTGCGGGCACCTTTTCCCTCTCGAGCAACGTGAAGGGGAATTGCATGTTTCCAACACGAACGTCGTATTACCTGTAGTCGGACCTTGAGCCCTGCGAGCTTAGCGCCTATCTCCATCCTCGCCATGCGCCCCTCCTGCACATCGCAACAAAACCACAATAAGAACGGATCATCGAGAGTGTGGGAACAGAGCAGATTGCTTGCAGGTACAGAGCAAAACACCGAGCCTAGAATGCAACAACCGGACGGTGTGCGATTTCTTTCTCGAACTACACGAATATACCTTCAAGCACGGAGGAACGAGCATCATTGCACTCTTGCGGAAAGCATCGTCCCGGCAACGCACAGCAGTGTCGCCAGCCATACCGAAAAACCCGAGGTTTAGAAAAGAGAGAAAAACAACCGGAGTTTCGGCGATTACTAGACTCGCGAATCGTTGCTGTCTCCTCCCGAGCCGCTTACCTGCGCGTCGAGGTCTCGCTTCACCAGACCCACACATACCACGATCGCAGTAACGTCGACGGCGACGTTCGTCAGCAGCCTGCAACGCAAAAACAGTAGATTGACGACGGCGTTATGGCGAAACCTCACCCCCCAAGCAACTTATTTAGAATTATTTGATTCCAAAGATTATTCCGCATTCCGCACATGCGACCTAGGGCAGAACGCTTGTGCGTGGGTACGCCTGAGATAAAGACGGCTGACGCGACCCCCTCTCGCGTAAAAACACTAAACAAGACTTACAGCGCCAAGAAGTGATTTCTTCCTGTGCGAAACCGCATCCGGGCTCTTCCGGTAGGACAAAAGGCCGAAGGGTAGAAAAAAAAATGCGGACGACGGTCAACGAATGGAACGACCAACCCATACAATGTCGATGGCGGGGCCAGCGAGAAAGCCTACCTCTGCTACACCAACCCCTTGTCTCTGTAGCGCTTTTTACTCGAAAGCCAACCAATAAAAACAAACACACACCAGCTCTCTACGGAACACTGTACTCACTCAGTCATGCTTTGGCCCTGGTCAATGCCCTGCGTGAGAGCGATGGTCCGGGTGCCGGCAACCAAAAGGCCCACTGTTGCGGACAACACGAACGAGCTGAACAGGAAGATGCGAACCTACCAAGCCCACAGGGGGGGAGGGGGGGGGTGCGAATGTGGAGGGCACAGCATTCAAGGATCGACAGAACCAACAAACAGGTTGTCGACAAAACAGACATTTTTTGTCGCTCTACCTCCCTCTGTCAGGATTGGGTAATTTACGCGCCTGTTGCCTTCCTTGGATGTGCAAAAAAGCCGTCTGAAGTGCAACAATAAACAAGAAAGGGGAGACGAGAGGCAACATCTATCCGGTCTAGATCTTCACTGTACTCTGAGTGAAATAACACAAGGGTGTAGATGGCGAGAAAACAATCAAGCTAAAATCGAGTTTCTCCCTCTCCCACCTTGCGGAATGGTGACTCCGCCTCCACCCTGCATGAGGGGCGCCGTAGCCAGCCGAGCGGGTCCATGGTAGGCGCCACGGTATCAAACGTGACACGCAGGAAGCAACGAGGAATGAAGGGAGGGCAGTACTGGACAGTTTAAGTGATCAGTTTCGGCCGGGCAATCAATGAGAGGAAATCACGACGTATGCTTCGCTAAAAGCATAGCGCACAACACCCAACCACTACTTTTTCTTGTTCAAGTATCGACCCATGGAGAGCCAAGCGAGTCTGCCCTACGACTTCAAATTGGCGTTGCTACCGAAACAATACTTTGAACGCAAGGACATACATGCAGAGCCGTCGTTAAGACCACTGAAAACGTTTGGGTGAACGCACAAGTTTGCGGACGAATGTTAATTTTTAAAGCTCGTTCGCTCCAACAAGCAAGAGACTGCCGACGCCGAAAAGAGTGGTTTGGGAACCTCTAGTCGAGAGCTATCTTATCTTGCACGTGTCGGTGGGGTTTCGATAGCACCCTCTTGACTTTGCGGCGCAATCTCTTTAACAGTGTCAATTTCGTTCGTGTGCATGCACCACAAGGGCACTGGCAGCAGTAGTGGCGTCCCCGCTCGTTAATTGTGCCGCGTCCTCGCGCACTATATTGTCTCATCACTGCTGTGGCTCGCTCGAGGTTGTTGCTACACCTCGTATTTAGTACATGCTGCAATTAGCTGCCGCTGTATAGTTCCCGGGAAACAACCCGACCAAAATCCTGGCCACCACAACGCCACCAACCCCGCACCCCTATTCTCTCTCGACAACTACTTATGCCAGTGCAACCATGTATTCTAGTTCAATAAACGAGATTCACGTTTATACGTACGCATGCACACGAACAACTAAACAACTGGGCCGCTGGTGCGGAGTTTGTGTGTGCGTCCCCGTGAGTGCGGGTTATTGAAGCACACGATGATAGCCCTCCACGGGGTGAAGGCCACTCGTAGGGCATGAGAAGGTTGACAGCGGCTGGTCGCGGTGCGGCCGACAGAGCGGGTTAGACACGTTCGCATTTTGATCAGTATGGAGCGACCAGTGAGGGGGCTTCGAGATCCAGGCCGAGAGCAGGCAGTTGTGTCATTCTCTGCCCGGCCTCAGATGGAAGAGGGCGTGCGAATACACCCTACCTATGGGCGATGTAACCGGTTCAGCCTGACCGTTGCTTGCAGAACGACTGCGACGTGGGCGGAAGAGGGTGGGGTGTAGGCAAGCGACAAGGGACGAACAAAAGGAGATATTCTCTTTTCTTGTCCTCCGTGATTCGCTTGCCTACCCGCCCGCTTCCATCCAAGTCGCTGCCGCCCTGCAATATTCAGGTGGCACCGGGTGCACCACAGGTAAGGTGTACTCGTTCGCCCTCTTCCATCGTCTGCCACAACCCCAGCAGCAGCCCATACGCCTGACAGATCTTTGATTGAACAGTTTACATGTTGATAAATGACAACAGCTGGTACATCTGATGAATGGCAAGCCGAGGTGCTTGCACCTCTTGTAGACATTCACGTCGGGTGTTGGCAAGTCCGTAGCTCAGACTACTGTACGACAGGCGAATATAGTTGGCAGTCGCGGAAGAAAAATAACAAGCATCGCGGCGGATGGAACGAACAACTCGCGTATCACCCGATGTGCATAAAGCGCCGGCCCGCCGGTAAGAAACGTCTACAGCTGTAGTTTGGGCGAGACCCAACACCTTATTGCCGCCGCGATGTGAAGCTCTATCTCCTGTATCCCCAAGTATTACTGTCGTTAAGAGAATATTGCGTTGCTTTCGTATTTCCCTATTTCTTGTTCATTTGCCAGTGTATGCCGACTCCTTTGAGGACGAAACGTGCTTATCCCACGCTGTTGCGCGTGGATGTCTACCGGTACTGCTGTCGGGACTACAGTAGTACTACAAGAATTCATCGTTCGGGAGGACAGACACAAGAGTTCATCGCCTTCGAAATCTAATCGACACGTGGTCCCGAAGTGCTGCTGTGGTAATCCTCATCCCTGGTCGCTGGCGCAAAATCTCCGGCCTGTTACCCTGCCAACGCGTCGCACCGTCGATCGGCTCGATCAAAGCCCATGCCCCTTCGGCTGCGTTCGCCTCGTTTACACTGCTGAATAGACGCGTGATTCAAGCTGATGGTGCTTTGATCATGTCAGTCAACACCACGCATGGCAGCGTACCAAGTGGTTGGTTTGTGCGGTAGCAGCCCCTCGATTGATCTACCCCACGAACCATAGATGTACCGCGTTTCTTGTCATTGGGAGGTTAAGTTGTGCGATTTCTTATATGCTCCGCTTCTAGTGGTTGTCCATCAAACGTGCTCGATTACGTAGATCATTTCTTATTTCGTCAAAAGCCTGAGGCTCAAATTCTCACGAGGTTCTCTGTTTTTTGTATTTCCTTGATATGACACAACGAATCCATGTCTATCTGTAAGAAAGGAGTCTAACATAGATTTGCAATGAATCCATAGCGTCCGCGGAGGTTACCTGTATTTCCACGATTTCCCGGACAGCACACCGCGATATGTCTCCCCTTTTTTTGGATAACAGGCTCAACAAGACAAATTGGTAGCCATCTTTGTGCGTCTATCTGTATGTTCTCTTTGTTGAGCGCAGGCCGGCAGGCTGGACACCGCCGCACCATGGCTCACATGTACCAAAAGAGGCGGAGAGATGGCACCCCGCCTAGACCGATTTTCAAAGTAAAATTGCTTCCCAACCAAGCTGGTTCCAACGCCAATAACGGCGGAGGTTTTGGAAGCATCTCGTTGGCGACTTTCCGTTGACATACTGTACCGGGCTCTTTCCGCACTCACTTGGTTGTGCAATACACTGTTCGTATCTCGAACGGGTGTTGTAACAGTATTTTTTTTTTGTCAGTATGACCCAACGAATCCATCTCTATCGAAGAAAGAAACAGTCGTTGTGGTCGTAGTTTTCCCTAAAGTAATGGAGCTTTGACCGTCGGTCTACAGGGAGGTGCCATCTCTCCGCCTCTTGCAGTACGGGCGCGTCAAAACTCGGAATTGGTTGAACGCACATCCCACAATCCTTTACTGGAACATCTTTCTGCCTCGCTCTTAGTGCCTAGCTCTTACTGTTCGCCGGGTCCGTGACAATGATGCTGCATCCGCCCCGTCCTAGGAGGTGAACCGGCCCGCCCAGCACATCCTGCTTTGGGCTCCCTGTGCACGTAGACTTTATCTACTGCTGTACATCATGGAATACATGAAACGGAGCTAGGCTACTCTTGTAGCATATTCTTAGTCAGACAAATAGAGCGAGTCTGCATGTTGGGACCGCTTGGCTTCTTTCGACAGCAGGATGGATGCAGCATAAAGTCCCGTACCCGGCGGAGCGTAAGAGCGAGTAGCCACATGTTTCAAGTATACGGCGGTGAATGGTAGCGAGAGAAAGATCGTGTCGTGTGTTATGTCGGGCATTTGTCGTGTGCCGTCATCATGAACAGCAGGTGATGTCATGATGCACGCAGAACGAACCTGACTATTTACTATTTCGCTGCCTGGTGTGCCAAAAAGAGTCCGACCGAAAATACGCCGACGTACCGGAGCCGCAGCTTGGTTCTTCTAGCCTCCTCGTCCGTTTGCTGCATCGTTAGACCTCTCGCTGCGCGTCGTGTGCTCCTGCTGCTGCTCGGCCACAACGCCGCCGACGCAGATGTCTTGGCAGAAGTCTCACAGACAACGTCATGATCCCCCGTCCATCGCGATCTTCCAATCGTCCCGGCTTGCGGCCGAAATCCAAGGGCTCCGCCGCACGAGCAGGCCAGGAGGCAGAGGGTCGCGAGAGCACGCGAGGCCACCATGTTACCTTCTTGCTGCGCAGCAAGAGAGCGATGGACCGCGTGCGCGTGGTGGGTCGTGTGTGTCAAGCAAGCGCGGTGGAGGGGAATGTGACGGGGACTTATTCTCAAGGGGTACCCTCACGACGGAACCAAAGTTCGCGGTTGACGACCCCCCGCTGTCGATTCGTTAGGATTCTGGCACACGGACCTGCTGTCACAAGAGGATTGGTCGGCAAGAGGAACATTGGCTGGTTGCTCCAGCAGCATAGAGAAGGGGCAACCTTAGAGGGGCAAGAATAGGGTTCCAGGTACAGTCCGGTCTCCTAGCATAGTTGCCTAGGACCTCCCGAAACTCCAAGAAGCTATAGGCCGCTGTCGCAGAGCGAATGCTTGGGTTCGCTCAAGGCCGACTGCATAGAGCATCTCTCTGTTGTACCTCTGCCAGCAGCAGTAAGTGCAAGGAGGGGGCATGGCGTCTTCAGTGAACGCGAACGCCGTGCTTTGCGTCAAGGGCGAGATCCACAACGTGCTGACGGTGCTGCGACTCAACTCGAGGTGGGCGAGCAGGGAGCGTTTCACTAGAGAGATCCCGCTGCAGGCCGAGAGCCCGCTCGCGAGAGCCTTCAAGGGCCTGCACAGCCACCTGGAGGAAGTTGACGACCTTGCCAATGTCGACACTGTCCGGTGAGAGACGAAGCGAAGCGTGCTTGCACAATGCGTGTGATACTGCTGCGCATTTTCTTGTCTTGCTTGTGCGTGAAGGACATTGGTGCCTCTACTGCTACATTATAACATGGGTTCTCTGCTGCGCGTATGCGTACGCGGAGAGATTTTGAACATGATGCGGTCTCTCAGAGCACCGTACGACAGCCACGCACACAAGAGCGGGGGCAGAGGTGACCTTCCTCGTCCGTCATGTCGTAACATAACCGATGACCCGTTCCCACCTATGGGGGATGGTTTGTTCTTGCACTGAGTGTGCATCGGTGGTAGAGATAGGGAGGGGCAGGCGTCGAGTATATGTGTGGAGAAGTGCTGGACCGGGAGATATCAACGACGGCCTTAAGATGGTCAACCGCTGGGCGATGTGCGATGTGTGCATCAGAGCGAATGGTGCGGGCGGTCACACGAAGCCGTTGTTCCCGCATCTGCTTCTGCAAGGCCAAGACGCGCACCTTGACAACGAGACAGACAACTCTTGAAAACGTTGTTGGAAGTGAAGAAATCCGCATGATGTAAGATAACACCTCCCCTGAATCGATCTTCTGATTATTCCATAAAGACGAAGAGGATGCCACAATCAAACGAAAGTTTTCGGAAAGCTCTCGACAATACGCTTCCAACACCGCCATTTTCGGCACCGTCACCATTTTTTGCTGCCGATGAATGGTCCTTTTACATGGGTCCAAGGGTGTGGTATCTTTTGGCAACCGAAGTGTTGGTTGATGATATCTAGATAACTACCCCGTTCGAAGGGGTCCGTTGGGAACACAGTAGGTAGTCAGGGTTGAAGGGATACCTGCTGGACAATGGGTGCAGTTGAGCATACTTTGCTAAAGCTGCAATAACAGAAATGCAGCACATACATCTCCCGCCCCCCTGGCGTTGGCCCCACGACTGAAGCGTGATCAAGCTTTGGGCCCTTTTCCGCCCGCCCGGACACATCTTGCGTTCTCTGTTCATGCTAGTATCAACTGAGGAGTTTAGAAATTCTGTGCTGCAAGTACCTACAATATACCTCCTGTAACCATGCAGCAGTACGCAACATCACTTCAGGGTTCAATGTCACGTTCCATGCATGCTCTGTGTGTCTTGTCTCACCGTCTGCCTACAGTTACCTCCTTCCGTTCCTGGCGGTGGTGGAGTCGCCGGCCACGACCGGGCCAATGACAGGCGTGGCGCTGAGCTCGCTGCACAAGTTCCTCCTGTACGGCTTCATCCGGAAGGACTGCCCTCGCGTGAAGGAAGGGATAACCCTCGTGGCACAGGTGATGATGCGCCATCCGTTTTTACCTCGACGACGACGAACCCCACCCACGCCTCGACCTCGATTCGTTAACGCACGCTTCGCGCGTGACCGGTGTGAACGAACATCCTATGGCAGTGGACCTGTTAGCTCTGGTATCATCCGTCCATGCCTTTTGCTTGTCCCCGCTTTTCTTACCGATGTTTTCTCGTCCATACCGCCCCCTTTGCTTAAGAGACGCTCTTATTGCTTTTCGTGCTGCCCTTGCGGCGTGTGCAGGCCATCAGCAGATGCCACTTCGAGGAGACCGACCCAGAGAGCGACGAGCTGGTGCTGATGAAGGTAGGTCCACAACCACAAAGGTCTCGCTCTGCACAATGGAGAGCACCCTCCACACACATGTAGTATGTTTATGATTCATATTTACCTGACATGCAAGGGTAGAACTACCACCTACGTGCAATATGTGGCCCTCTGTGTTGGTTCTCGGAGTCTCGCCATGTGAACCGTCTTGACACACGTAAAACACAGGAATGCTCACAATCATTAAACTAACCTGCCGGAGCCCTTGTTTCCGGGACAAAACTCGGGTCTCGTTTCTTCTTGTTTTTTTCTCTGGGACGCGCTTCGTTTTCGGCAGCTCTTGGAGCTCTCCGCGCTGTGCCTGAGGTGCGAAGTGGGAGACTTGCTTACCGACGAGAGCTGCTGGAACATCTTCGTGGCCTGCTACAACCTCTACCACATCACCACGGACGACAAGTCGTTCGGGCTCCTCCGGGACACTGCGGGCAACACCCTGGCGCACATCGTGCTGATGCTGTTCAGCCGCCCGCGGGTGTCTCGAGCGAGCAAGTCGGCGGCACCCGGCGGGGCAGCAACGGCTGACGCAACAGTAGCGGCGGGCGGCGCCGTCCTCCACGAAACTCTGGGCCAGAAAGCGGGAGCAGAGGCGCGGGACTGTCCACCGACGGAACCATCAAAAGCCCCCCCGACGCCGGGCGGCGATAGAGACGGGCTGGCGCAGGCTAGCCCCCCCCCCCCCGCCGCCGCCGGGCTGTGGCGCCACGGGTCGTCGTCGAAGGCAGGCGACGAGGAGGGCAGCAGCAGCGGCAAACAAACGCCGTTCGGGCGGGGAAGGGGCGTGCCGCCGCCGCTAGAAGGGGGGCAGGAGGAGGAGCCGTGGCCGTCCCTCGACGGAGCCAACGATGATGGCGCCAGCCAAGGCGTCGATGACGGTGTCGTTGTCGCCGGGCGGGGAGCGCTGAAGGCAATGATGGGCCCCGGTAACGGTAGGTTCGGGCTTGGCGGGGTCGGAGGGCCCGTGTCCCCGGTGCAGCCGACGAAGCACGGCGGCGGGAGAGATAGCGGCACCGCGGAGCAGGAGGGGGTCTTGGTCAAGCTGATGCGGTTCCTGTCGCTGCTGAGCGACCCTCGCTCGAACGGGAGCGCGGAGTGCGTGCTCAGCCTGAGCTTGATCAACATCGCGCTCGAGGCGGGGGGCGCGGACCTTGGAAGGATACCGTCCCTCGTGAGGGTCATGCGGGGGGACTTGTGCAAGCACCTGCTGCAGAACAGCCAGACGGACGACCTCGACGTGCTGAGCCTTACGCTGAGGGTGGTGTTCAACCTGTTCAACTCCATTAAGGACCACCTAAAGGTCCAGCTTGAGGTTTTCCTCACCAGGTACGGGCGTTTTAACCCAGCTAGGGTTGTGAAGGAGGAAGATCATGCACGGTGCAATTCCCTGCGTGCGTGCGTGCGTGTTACCGCGTTGTTTTAGATAGTCTTGTTATATTTTGGGTGATCGCGCGGTATCAGCCACGGTGAGATTTTTCGGCTTGTGCATGCGGGAGGCCGAGCCGCGAACTTGCATCCCCGCATACTACGATTAGACTTCGCGGCTTGTGCATGCGGGGGACCGAGCCGCGAACTTGCATCCTCGGATACTCGGACGTGCGTAGGAAAATCGCTCTTTGAAGCCTCCGCTGGATTGCAAGGACTTGATGCTTCTTCGCCGTCGTGTAACGTCACGTTGCCTCCACCCCCCCCCACCCCGCCTTCCTGCTTTTGCTTCGCCGGGCCATTAGCGTGCACCTGCGCGTGCTCGACGGCTCGAGCTACGGGCCCGAGCAGCAGGAGCTTGCCCTGGAGAGCCTGCTGGAGTTCACGCGGGAACCGGCGTTGATGACGGACGTTTACATCAACTACGACTGCGACGTGCAGTGCACCAACCTCTTCGAGACCATCTGCCACTCGCTGTCGAGCCACGCGTTGCCGCGGGACGGGATGGTGAGCGAGTCACTTGTGTCGAGGCGGGTCTTTAATTATTTCGTCTTCTACGCGGAGGAATAAACGGTGTACGTACGTGCGAAGGACCTGTAAGTCATTGTGGAAAACTATAATTGCGTCGCGCGGCCAAGTGACGTGGACAGCTGGTCGAATGCGATGAAGCTGTAGAATTTGTGTTGGGACTATGCCGTAGGATGTGGAGACAGACAGGTCTGTTCAAGACCCAGCTTCCGGCATGGCTAAGTTCCAGCCGCAGCAGCCTCTCCATATGCCGCCGAACCCCTGTGAGACCCACAAGAATCCGCCCCCCGCCCCCCCCCACTACAAACACCCACCGCTGATGGCGCAGGAGGTCAACGCTCTCAACCGCCTGGCCCTGGAAGGCGTGTTGGCCGTCATCGAGTCCATCTCTCGGAGGTGCGGACCCTCCTCCAAGCCGCCGTCGTCTTCCCAGCAGCTGGGGTTCTGGGTGCAGCAGGCCGGCGGCGGCGGCGGGGGGGGGGGGGCCCCCCCGCTTCCGCTGTCCGGGCCGCACTCGGGCGGGCTGAGCGCGAGCCTGGGTGGGCCTGATTCCTCCAGGAGAGGCTCGGTGTCCGACTCCGACAGCGACCAGGAGTACATCGCTGCCTTCGGGGGAGGGGGTGCTGTTCATGGCAGGGGGGACGGGGGAGGGGCGCCGTTCGCGGGAAGCGGCGGCGGCGGCGGAGCGGCGGGGGAGCTGGGGTGGCTGGAAAGGGCGAGGGCGCGGACGGCGGAGGTTCTGCAGGGGAGGAAAAAGATGAAGAGGCGCTTGGGGCTTGCCGCGAGAAAGTTCAACACCGGTTCCAAAGGCTGGCTGGAGTACGCCCAGGTTTGTCGAAAAAATAGCGTTGGAGCGGCGCCTTCCTGGGTGTACTACTCATCCCGGTGGAGCTGTATTTTTGTAGGGAGCGTTGGGGCACCGATAATAAGGCTTTGCGTCTGAGACAGGCCGTCAAACTGGTGGGTAGCTGCACGTGCGGCGGCGGGTTCTAAAAAATGAAATACGCTGCTATCGTTCTATGCCATGTTGATTGGGAATAGCGACACACGTACCACGCACACGCGGTGTCAACCACCTTCCGCGTACAGCACGGCGTTGGTATCGGTAACCGTCCTCGCGTCGTGCGTGTCGCTGCGAGTCGCATCAGGAACTCGGGCTGATCCCTACCCCCAAGACGGCGGCGGCGACGGCCGCTTTCCTGAAGGGCACTCTGCTGCTGGACAAGAGCATGCTCGGGGAGTACCTCAGCAGGGGGCCGGCGGACAAGTACCCTTTCAACGCGCAGGTATGTATGCATACCTATCTTTGTGTTCTAAGCAACAGCACCAGCAGCAGCAGTATACCGGCCGGAACGGTATGTCCAAGACAGACGCATCTGGACAACCCCAGTTTCCGGGAAAAGTCTGGACTGTAATACTGCTGAACGGCTGATTTGTGCTGCCGCTTCGGCGGCCCTATCTAGCTCCTTCCTACTACGTCCCCGTCGTGGGCAGCACGTGATTTCTGAAAAGCTACAGTAGTAGGCGGGACGTGCACACCTACGTAGCATGAACCTCACCGCACGGTGCCACCATCCTTCTCGTGTCGTCGTTGCCCTCGTTCCCGTCCCGCTGTCGCCCGTGCGGCGTCCACCGCGGACGTACGTACCCTCCGTGTGCTTGCGCATGCGTACGCTTTTTGGTTCGGCCGGGGCGAAGCAGGTGCTGGAGGAGTACGTGAAGCTGTTCGACATGCGGGACAAGACGTTCGTGGAGGCCTTGAGAGCGTTTCTCAAGGAGTTCAGGCTTCCCGGGGAGGTGGGATATTGTAGTCGACATTCGTAACATTTTTTTCTATTGTCGGTGCCGTTCGTTGGCCGAGAATAAGAGTTGCGGTGGGAGGCGCTACACCTCGTGGGATACATTGGTACCGTTTTCCGGCTGTTGTCCCTGTCGATGCTACGCTTGGTGGAGGACAGGGTAGCTGTGGGAGAGGCAACCCGCTGCATCTTCGTCCGTGCTTGTGGAATCCCGCCGAGTCTCTGGTTGCGTGTTGACGTTGCGGTAGGTCGAAGAAGCAGCCATGAGAGACACGAGCGCTCTCGCTTGCAACCACGCGGGAACGCTTCAAAAAAACGAGCTAGCACCAAGAGAACCCGAAAAAAGGGATTCTGAGCTGACGGCAAACAATTATTGCCTAACCTTCGTTTTTCGCGCAACCGAATGTCTCGAAACGCAGGCTCAGTGCATCGACCGGTTGATGGAGGCGTTTGCGGGGCAGCAGTACGAGCAGGGCAAGGACTCCGGTCAGCACCCCTTCGTGAACGCGGACGCGGCGTTCACCATGGCCTTCAGCGCCATCATGCTCAACACCGACCTGCACAACCCGCAGATCCAGGACCACCGACGCATGACCCTGGACGACTTCATCCGCAACAACAGGCACGCTCGCCTTCGCTTTCTTGTCCTCCCTTTCTGCTTCGAGCTCAGGCGTCGTTGCGGTGTTGTTTTTTTTTTCTTCGAGCTTGGGTGACGTTGGTGTGTTGGGGCTGTTTTTGTTTGCAACCCTGTACGTGTGGTTGGTCCAAGGCCATGCGTGTTGGTTTTCTTCAGCCCCCCCTTTTTTGCCACCGCAATTCAAAGAGCCTTTTGTGTTTCAGACTCGTGATTATTTTTGTCTACTGCCATTCCGGCTACCTCATCAAAGTTCACGTGGCTTTCCAAACGTATTAACATGCGTTCTGCGCGGCTGCTGCTGCCCAAAACTACACTCGCTTTTGCGACCCCCCGGCATCGAGGAGGGTATCTTCACATTGAGGGAAGGAGGGCCGATCCTAGGCATCGACACGGTGGCGACTGATGCAGTCTAATAACTTCCTTGTTTGTGCGCGTCTGACACTCACGCAGACAAATCAACGGGGGCAAAGACCTCCCGAGGGAGTTCCTGGAAGACATGTACACTTCCATCAAGGAGAACGAGATACAGGTGGGTCCGGCGTTTCCTCTCTCGCATAGGTGTGTTGCTGTGGTTCTGATGGCCCACAGCCACCGACGGGCCTGTTGAACGCGGGAGGCAGTGGGGCAAATTCCTAGAAACAGCCTCACGACACTGCTGCGAAATTCACTGCGAAATGGGTAGCTTCCAAGGCAGTGCCGCTTGCTGTAGGCACGGACCGCACACACACACACAAACATCATGCTGCTGCGACCCGAGCCTGGATTTAGCCCCCATGTATCATTTGCACCGCCACCGCCCCCCTCCTTATTTTTGTTTGCGATTTCCGGCGTTGTTGTGTGAATCAGGTGCACCGTGACCACGTGGCGATGGCGGCTGACGGTCTGGGTATCGACTACACCGTCCACTGGGACGGAATTCTCAACAGGTAAGCCCCCCCCCCCCCCCCCCCCCAAAAATCCCTCCTCCTCCCCTAACTCCAACCCTCTCCCCTACCCAAACACCTTCCCATTCCCAAACCTTCTCTTCCCTTCTTACCTCTTCTCTACCTTCAACTACCACTTCAACA